TGAAGAAGAGTATTAGAAACCAATCAAAGCTGAGGATTCCCAATAACAACTCCACCAAGAACTACTACCTATAGAAATAAGTGGGCACTGAGACTATAAGGCAGCATGAACTGGAGGTGAACTGTCTTTGCAACACCTGGCCTGCAGGATGGCATATGGCAGACATTCAGGAAGTACTGGGTAAACATATCTGAACAGAGGAGAACAAGTGACCATCAAGTTATGATGAATATGGACAAAGGAGTTTGGGCTGGACCACTGTACCCCAAATAGTCAGGTTTCTTAGAGTCTTAAATCTTGGAGTGAAGGAGGGGCCACCCCAGAATAAACAAAATGGTACCTTGCTCCCATGATGTGGGAAAGAAGGGAGGATGGAGCCTGGCATAGTGGCTCACATCTAGAATTCCAACACTTTGGACAGGGGGCTGAGACAGAAGGATTTCCTTGAGTTCAAGGCTAGCCTGGGCTACACAGTAAATTTCAGGTGAAAAGATAACAAGGTCTGCTGCTGAGGAGCAGAGGTTTCTGGATGATGAGGAGAAGGTTTGCCCCACCTTGAAACAGAGCACCATCCTCCCTTCTCTCCACACCAAAAGCCAAGGTGGTGCAGACCAGAAGCCAAGAAGGAAGAATGGCCACCAACCAGTCTGGTAGGGAACATAGATCTGGAACCACAAGGAGAAGACCTCCAGGGCCACATCTACTGCCCAGGGAGAGCCCCTGGCCCCCAGTTTCCCATCGTTGGCCCATGAATAGATTTAAGCTCCCTGCTTCCCTAGCTCAGTCTACAGAGCAGGAAGTGCTGTGGTACTCTTCAGTGACTGGGAAAATCCATGTGCCTGTGTGGACCCTGCTGCCTGCTTCTCCTGCCCCCTCCCATCCCGTCTGCTCATCAATGGAGAACGTGGCCCTCTTAATCCGTCCTACTGTGTGCCCTTGGGGCTGTGGGAACTACAAAGGTGCTCTTTAGAGGGACAGAGTGGAAGTGTATACCTCTGTGTGCAGGTGCGTATAAAGGTGAGTACGTGGGAGTACGTGCTCATGTACGCATGTACCAACATGGGAGTGTGCCTACGTGGACCTGGGCATGCAGGTGTGAGTGTCTGCACACCCGTGGGTGGCTGTATTTAAATGTGAGAGTGTGCCTGCGTGTAGTCCACGAGGAAAAAGATGCCTGCTTTCGGCTGTCCTGGAAGGGGAGCTCAGTGCAGGGCACCAAGCCAAAGGAAGCATTTGACCAGTGCTGTCTGGCAGAAGAGGGTGAGAAAGAGGTCACGGGTCTCCAGCTCCATGTCTCTGGGGCTGAAATGGGTCAGCAGAGGTACCTTTGCTTGAGGCAGTAGTTCATGAGCTTGTAAATCAAAAGATCACTGGTTTGAGCAGGTTGGGTGTAGCGGCACACACTTTTAATCCCAGCACGTGGGAAGGCAGAGGCAGGTGGATCTCTGTGAGTTCGAAGACAGCCTCATTGACATAGTGAGTTCCAGGGCAGTCAGATAGGGAGACCCTGTCTCAAAAACAAGCAAGCAAGCACACAAGCAAACAGGATAACTGATCTGATTCAGAAGGCTCTTGGGTGAGTAGCCCGATCCCATTCTGAAGGTGAGGGCAGGAAAATAGAGGAACAGCCTAGGTCTGCCCTCAAGTTTCTACAAACAGTGAAGGTAGCTAAGGATCACGGGTCTATTACATATGTTGGGGGCCAGAGCATGCCACAATTACATGTCTCATTTACAGCTCCACAGGGTGTACCTTTGTCACACAGCCCTTAGCAGAATTGACTATGGAGTGGTGGCGCCGAAGAACACTATGGGGCCTGGGGAATAAGAATAGGAAATGAGTCCCAGACAAGAAGAGAGAGACCACGGAGATATTGCATTTCCAGGGTCTCATGTAGTGCAGGTTAGCCTTGACCTCAACACATAGCTGACAATGGCTTTGAGCTTCTGATCCTCCCACCTCCACTTCTGAGATGGCAGTAGCATGCAACCAAACCGAATTCATTGGGTGCTAGAGATCAAACCTTGGGCTTCAAGCATTATAGGCAAGCACTCAAGAGCTTGCCTTCCCAGGATGTTTTTATTAGAGATCTCACATAAAGCAAGGAAGAGAGGCTGAGCCTCTGGGAAGAGAAAGAGAGAGGAGAAGGTCTGGGAAGGAGCTGCAGAGGGATTCAGAGAGATTCCCAGGTCTCTGCTCTGCCATGTGCCTTGGGTAGAGCTCCCATGGGTGGGGTGTGAATGGCAAGTGTGCTGAGCCCTCCTGCTCCTGGTTGTTACTGTAAATACAGGACAGTCATTAGCAGGACCAGATCTCTTGCAGACAACCCACAGAAGAGTGAATTATAGGCACATAGTTGTGCTCCTCATTCTCTGCCTCAGTTTTTCACCTGTGTCCTCATGTTGGTTGGGTCCCCAGTGCCCTTGGCTCATAGGAATATTCCAAACAGCAGAGCATCTCTGTCAAAATCAATGATGTCCTGATTTTCTGTGGCCTTCCCTCTCCTCTACAGAACTCTCCCACCTCCCTGTGCTCAATCTCCCTTTATCAGGTGAAGAAAGTGGGGTAACATTGGAGCAGCCCTGGAGGTTCCTTAAACTCTTCTGTGCATCCAGCATTAACATTGTCACAAGCCAGGTGACTGAAACGTTCTCATCTCTGACCATTGTCTTCTGACCTCGTCCTCCTGACCTTTCTCATCCAGGCTGCCTCCCTTCCACCATCTGAAACTCCTACTGAGGACACTGTAGAGGGGCGGGGAGGAGAGAGTGGGGATGAGGGCACTTTTGATGGCAGAGAAGCTGCCAGTGACTGTGCTGGGCTCAGGGTCGAGGTGATCAGGTAGCAGGAATCTGTCCTCCAGCACCTGCTGGCTCTTCCTGCCCCTGAATCTCTGAATCCATGTCCTCTGCTTCTGTCCATGGGCCCTAAAGACATGCATACTCAGCAGGAACAATATCACCCCCAAGAGGGGAAATGACTTCTTGGTGGAGACGCAACAAAAATGAAATAAACAAACCTCCCTTCTTTCAGCCTGTAAAACACTGCTGTGTGCCCAGGGTAGAAGGAGAAACTGTACATCTGTGGGACAAATGACTAGGAAAAAGTTTCTGCAAAGTATCCTTCCAGGAAGAATAGTGAAAGAAGATGGAAGAGCAGGGTCCCTAAGGGCCACACCCCTGGGTCCTTCTTCGGTGCCTGCCACCTGATGCACATGCTGGTTTGTGTCCCTTGCCAGCTGTCTGCTCTAGAGTCTGTTGAGCAACACGGACCACATGGCTTCCCTCAGCAACCTTGACTGCTCTGTCCCCAGAGGAATAGTACCTACCAGCAGGCCTGATGCCTGGTGGGAACAGCAGGCCCACACAAATCTGGTCCACAGAAACCCACCAGTAATACCCCAGCCCTGGGTCTGGCCTTTTTCTGACATAGGCACCAACTTTTAGTGTGAGACCTAACATCTGAGGAGACAAGGGTTAGCCAGTTACACAAGAGATGGAGGAAGGACCTCTAAACGGAGCCGGGTGCTCACAGCACTATTTCCCCCAGGCATCCTGCCCACAGCTCTTCTGAGCTGTCCTGACTGTCTAGTGTCTGTTTCTAGACATGTGAGTCTGATTCATGGCTAGGGCAAGGCTGAGCCAGAGAGGAGCTTTAGAACGTACACTCTCAAGCTACCTCACAACCAGGCATACACCTGTGAACCCACCACTTGTCGGAACCAAGGCACAAGGATCGTAAACTGAAAGCTAGCCTGAGCTACGTGACATGACTCTGTACCAAAGGGAAAACAGTCAGATGTGGTGGCAAACTGCTGCAATTCAGGGTGGATGTCTGTGTGAGGTTAGGGTGCAGAGGAGACAGCAGGGGCTGAAGGAAGTGGGGTGCATGCTTCACACTCAAGCCTCAGGCAGGGAAGGATAAGGAACGAAACTTGTGAGCCATGGAACCTGGCTTTCTGAGCAAACACCCATGGCTAGGAGACCCCAAAGCACACAGGAAGGAGAGAAGCAGATGCCAGGGCCCCAGAGGTGAAGGTTACGACCTTAAATCCATCCCTAAAGTTTTCTGTAGAGCTTCCTAAGGGAGAAGGAAAGCAGAGATGCCATCCCTCCACCCTCCAGGTCTCTAGAGGCCTCCCTCTGCCTCCCTACTCTCCCCATGGATGGAGCCGTTCCTGGGAGCCAAGAAAGGGTATGGAGCCTGCCAGGAAAACACGGGTCAGCGCACACTTGCCAGATGCACATGGTCATTTCATTTCACGGGGTGAGACCTCGGGGTCTCAAGTGACTAACACAAACATGGCAGAGTCAGAATTTGAACCTAGCTGGGCAATCCAAATGGAATCTCTATCCTAGTATGTGACAAAAGGACCATAAAAGTCTATCTCTGCCACCTTTGCCCAAAGAAATCCACAAGGGCCTTTGCTCAGAGTACAGCTGTGTGTGTGTGTGTGTGTGTGTGTGTGTGTGTGTGTGTGTGTAGGCCT